AGAACAAATTCACAGCGAGTTTCACTAAAATACATCGTACCATTCTCTGAACTTTGACCATCAATAGCAGAGGAGCCAGACAATTTTTGTTGATAAAAGTTAGGTCAGATCGTCTTCTTTTGGTCCAAATAATATCGCAGTACCTTTTTGATCATCAGCTTACGGGATACCCTGTATAAAACAATTAAATAAACAGTATACTTATTTTATTGTTAGCGTTTACTAACAATAAAATAAGTGGTTTTTACAAAAACACGTTCCCCGACGTTTTGGCAACCACAAAGTGAACGAATACAAAAGTTGAACAACAGTGGCAATTTCTATGGTGGTTCTAAATTATGAAGCTTCAAAAATATTTCTTCTGATTATCCCTGATTGCACCCACCAACGCCAACATTTCCATTGCTTCTTTCTTCCAATTGATCAATAAAATGGTAACAAATTACGTTTCTGAATTTTTCCAACGAATTGCGGATAACGTTTATCTCTATATTCTCGAATGATCGTAAAGTCGATGAAAAAAGAAGACATTTGCATGAGTTATTCATCCGAGCCTCTGATATCACTTTAAGATGAACAAAGTCTTGGAATATTTTATCCTTAAACGGTATCTAGATCATAGTTTATTCACCGACAGCAACATTTGTACATAGACAAAAGGGCTGTACTGACATGTAAATCTAGGTCAGATTTGTTTCATCGACCAAAAATAAATCAAGAACCCAGAGATCAGAGTGTTCATTGCCGATTACCTTAAGCCACTAATGGATTTCTAGAAAAGAATTTTACCTCACTAGTCGCTAAATAGGCGAAAACAGAGCCGATTTTTCCTACTCGTCTGGGCGATTAGTAATTGATCCCTTAAGCCGGTTTCCATGTTGAGAGTTTTAGGCTGACAGTTTTAGTTTAGATTTCTCTTTTTTTAATTTTTTATATAAAACTAGGGTGTAATATTCACACCTTTTTTTGTTTCTGTACTGCGATCACGTTCGGCCAATCTTATATTTGTGATTCCAAAAAAATTACATAAAGAAACAAATCAAGCGCGAAAAAATAGCACCAACAAGATACAGTATTATTTTGCAGTATAGTATTTATTTACATAAATAGTAAAAAACAGTTTTAGCCGGCTTTGCTGATTTTAAATGTCTTATTTTTCGTTTGTTGTGAGAATCTCGCTTAGACGATGTAATTAGCCGGTTACTAATTATTTTGTGATTCTGTGAAAGTTAAAAAAAGAAGTAAATCAAGCGCAGAAAAAATATAATTAAACTAACACATAAAGAACTCAAAATTGACCATTTTTAAAAAACACTGGAGCTTAAGGCATTTTTAAACCATCAATGTTCTAATCACACCTAATCGTCTAAAAGATAAATAAATCCTAATAAATTTATTTTAAATAGTTATATTATAATGGTGGAATGGATGGTCAATGGAACGTAATATTTTGTACTTGCCATGTCGACATGATATTTTAGAATTAGTACTAAGAAACGCGTTTGAAATAAAACTGAAAACTTCTACATCTGGACCAGATGTATAATTTTTTTTAAGGTTTCGAGAAACGCGGCCTAAAATATATTCCTCAAAATCTGATCCCAGTATAACAGATGATTTTTTAAAATTAAAAATATTGTAAAATCGTTAGGCAAACAACATTCTAGAGAGTACTATAGATAATTACTTGAATTACCAATTTTATTTTTTGGGAAATATCCACCTTCCGGTATGTTCTTTCGCTTACCGGGTTCGTTCCATCGTGCAAAGTAGATGTCGAAAGCTCCTTATACTTTAAAAATATCTATATTTCGAAAACAATTTAAACTTAGTACCTAATTTAGAAGAAAGAGCATTTAGAGATGCAAGTATATTTTTAGTTCATTCAATCGTCATCATCGTTCAAGCTTGGTTTAAAGCTTCATTGATAATAGAAGCTCCTTTACAAGATTTTCAGTTTTTAAAGAAAATTTCTAAATATCTTTGTTCCTCTATTTCTCAAGTAGCAATGAATAAATTCGGTGAACACTTGTAGAATCTCTCTCCTGAAAATGTTCATCTAGCATTTTCTGATACGAATATGCCAAGGGCTGAAACACTGAAAATGGTAGCGGACACCAAAGTTTTAGGAATCTGCCCTTTTAGGAAATGTTTGAATCGAGTGTTTTTTTCAAAGAAAATTAGTAATTTTGTATTTTCTGAAACATTGAACGTTTTCAAAAGATTGCATTTATCAACTGATTTCTTAAGTACCCCACTTGACACCTGGGAAGTCCGCTCGTTTAACAACTTATTAGTTGTGAACAATGTCGCAGAAAGGGGAGTAAAATTAATACAAGAGTATAATAATTTTATAGAAAATTATGAAGGTCAAAAGCAGTTTCTTTTACAAGTTGTGAATGATTATCGTCAAACTTATCCAAGTTTTAAGAAACAAACTCGTTTGTGACACATTTTAAAATTGCCCTACTACGTTAACGTTTTTAGAGATTATTATTTTTTAAGTTGGAAACGCTCTGCGGGGTGGGACCCTAAAAATCCGATAACTCAAAATTAAATGCCACCCTATTTTGTACACCTAAGGTTGACAATATTACTTCCAAAAATTTTGAATGTTGAATTATATTATACTCAAAAAAAAACCCTATGAGTGCAATTGGTTTATTGCTTAGCTTAAGGTACATTTTTTAATAAAAACTGAATCTAGTTCAATAAAACGATTTCCTCTTGTAATTGAAATTGCGCTGATCCAGTCTCTGAAGTTTTACAGTATAAACGAAGAAGCGTGCCCTGAATTTTTGCGACAAACTTTTGCCGATGTCTATAATAACTTGTTTATAAGGGTGGTTTAAGTTCAAGACGTGGCCATCGGGCACAATAACGTTTTCGTAGCGAAAAAGAACAGCCACGTGCTGCGAAAAATGTGTGGGTTGGCACTTCATCGGAATTACAACAGCTCAAACCAATCCGTTATAAAGTGGGACTACAGTAAATAGAATTTTCCCAGTAAATAGAGTTTCTGGAATATTTGTGACAACAGCTATAGAATAATAAAATATATCGAAAATAACCATTACAAGTTAAATATTAGACCAAGAAGTTCGTATCAGTTCTGGGACAAAATCCAAGGAGAAACTTTTTCAAAACACACTCCAGGTGAAAGTGTGTGAATGTCGGAATATTTGCTTGAGAAAAACTAAACGTGTAAAAAGTCACAAATAGGAAAAAGCCGTTATAAACCTTAGAGAAAGTCAAGCAAATATTTATCAAACATCAACTTAAAAAACTTAATAAAAATATCAAACCAACTGTATGTTGCAAGCTAATATAACTTTTATACATAGTAAGTTTTTCGTAAGTTCTACGAAGATGGTCAATAAATAATAATTAATTGATGTGAAAAGTGAAAAAGCATATATAATAGAAAGAAGAATTGTGGACACTGAATTCCCAAATGAAACTTGGTATAAATAAATACCATGGAATTAGACTATCTGCGGCGCAATGAAGAAATATCTAAATTGCCAGAGTCAGACATCAGGACATCAGACAAAGAGCAGGTGCAAAAGAAACCGTGGTTTAGCTCATGAAGACGCCACAGATAGAGACCGCTGAAGATTGGAAACGGGAAGACAGAAGAATATATATAATTTATGGACGAAAAGTAAGTGAAAACCTTTGTGGATCATTGGCATGTTTCCGGGCTAGGAAGTAAAGTAAAACTAGACTTAACATTCAGTCTATTTGCTTTAAAACAAACTGTATCAGAAGAACGAGACGTAAAAGTGTAACAATTTTACACAAAGCACAGTTACGTCAATTTTAAGACAAAGGATGACTGCTAGCCAAATATACATTAAAAATTAATGAACGATTTAAGTCATTAGCTTCTTGTTTATAGATCGTTCTGTGGTAGGTACCCTGTTCAACGTTATTCGGTTTACGTTGAGTCATTTTCTTGCGTTCTAAATAATCAGATTTTAATTATTTTTTAGGAAGTAAGATAGCAGAATAATAATTAATACGTTATTACATGAAACATGTTAGCAAATTTTACGTTGTCTTTTACTTTTATCATTTATTGATTAACTTAGTTTTACTTTAATGATTTCGAGTTCTAACGTTACACTTAACGATTTTAAATTAGATTTTTCTTAAATATTTTTCTAAAATATTTACTATTTTTCTTGCTTCATGAAACTGCGACATAAGGGGCTCTAGAGGAACTGTATGCAATACTTATTGTTTGACACACCAAATGTTATTACAATTAATAATTCATGAACCATTTGAAGCCAGAATTGGTCACCAAGTAGCACACATTCAAGACAAATGGCACAACATTCAAGACAATGACAGACACAATGGCAAATTTATCAGCCACTTGACTATCACACGTAGCTCCGAAAAATAAAATAACTGTTGCTCTGCAGAAGTTAAAATGGCAAATACTAATAAAGTGTTTAAAATTAAAAAAAATTGTTTTAAATATTAAAGAGTTTTTAGATTAAAAGTAATATATGTAGGTGAATTTCATATCACAAACGATATTTTTGAAAGAACGGCAATAGGAAGTGGACAAAATTCAACCAATAACCTTGTGTTAAAAATGTATATTTTTTCTCTGTGCGTTTCCTAAGTTGCCGCTCAATATGCCACTTAAAAACCAACTGATCTATAATAGTCTTTATACTGAAAACAATTTCACTATTAAATTTCCTCTTTTCCATGAAAAATATGAATAGTCAGATATAAAAGAACCAGACACTAATTTACCTAAATCATGATTGCGGTAATTTAAATGATTGCATGGTATAAAAAAAACGTTTACCGGTAAATGTAACATTCATCATTTCTGCAGACCGTATTACAATTGGACATATCAGTGACAAAATATTTCATAAACTCGATGAATAAGAAAATTAGTACTGACCTTTTCACTCACCAGTACAATGTTTCTATTGTGTGCTGCACAATTATTTAATTAGTTCTCATTCCATTAATATACATTGAGAAGCTTTTTGGTGCTTCAGTGCAGTTCCAACATGATACTCACATGCAGGCGCAACGTGTTTCTTGTTATAGCAATTTTTGCAATAAATAGTTTAGTGGCAGTATCTCTTAATGCCGATAAACAATTCACGTTAAAACAATTTCTGAAAAACCAGACAAAGGCAAGAAACAATGGCGATGGGAACAAAGACAATGACGAAAAGGAAAATGTTTTAAGAACTGAGGCATGGAAACTCCTAAAACAGTGCGACGGTGAGCGAAATCGCTATGGGGACGACACCAATAACAAATTCAGTGCTTCTAAAGGAGAAAATAATATAAACAATTTCCGACCAGACAGACAAAGTAACGGTTATGGAAATGATAATAATGAATCATCCGGCAATTCATGGTCTAGCAATAGAAACGGCACCACTTATGGTTCCCAGAACAATGAAAATGAAGAATGGAACATGTTTCGGTAATTTGTTTAAATGCGTGAAAATAAAAATAGATTTTAATGTTTGTTACATTAGATCTCCCAAGCGATATGACACTGGTTCAAATACAGCTGAGTCTTCATATGGTACCCAGCATTTTAACCAAGCAAACAATGAAAACAAGAATCCGTATAATTCCAATAACATGAATTACCAAACCGACCATAGAAGCCCCAGTAACATTTATAGTAGCATGTCCACCAATGGAGATCAACTGAATCGTCCGAACACTGATTACAGAAGTCGTTTTAACGAAAATTCCCAAAGTAGTGGATTTGGGGAATCCACTACAGGATACCAAGCTGGTAGCTCCAATGCATTTGATATGAGAAATAGCTATGGGCCAAACTCTGACGGATTTCATCGAGTTACTTCTTCAGATAATGATTGCCGCGATAATGTTGACAGAAATTGCGGAAAAAATATGTTTGGTAAGTTCAAATCCACTAGATAAAATCCGTAAAGAAATGTATGCGAAAAATATCAAACGCAAAGTTTGTATATTTTGGGACTTAGAAGCAGGTGTATGTGTCAGTTTGCTAATAAATCATCATTGAAGACACCTCAATCACAGAACGTATTTAACTATTGTATATGAAAACACAATTGCTTTACTTTTCTTTAAAAATTTTGCATATAAGAGATCAATTAATATTAAATTATGAATTGTGGCGTATTACAGAGATCTTCAAATGATATACGTATTTAAATAGCTCAGATTTTATTATTTTTGCCTTATTCGCCTCTCACTTTATCTCCCAGAAGCATTTTAATCGAAAAACCTTGTCCAAAAAAAGTCTTAAAAATCGCAACTGACCAAAATGTTAACAATCTCAAAACAATGCTGAATAGTAGAAGATAAATAATGATATAATTATAAAAACTCTACTATCCTAGAAATGTTTTATGAAATACTTAAAAAAATGTATAAAATGAACACAAGAAACCTAATAACGATGCATCTGTAAATCAGAGAACTAACTAAAACTAACATAAAGCACAAAGCAGCAAAATCTTTAATGATCATGATTTTAAAAATTCAATAATGTAACATTGTTGTAAGTTGAAAGTGCTCTATGATTTGTCAGTGGTTAACAATTTATACGTTCTTGTTACCTTTTGCCTTTGAGTCTTTATTCAGTTTATAATCTTTAGTTTTACTAATTCTAGCCATTTTTATGGTTGATAGAGACATTCAAAACATACAGAAGTTTGCGTTAATAGTAGTAAAAACGTTATTATCATTATCGTTATCAGCATAATGTACAAGAAAAATAATTAACTTCTGAGTTGAATTGCATTGATAATTCAGTTCAATTTCTTTATCACCTTTTTTAGCAAATATTTTTTTAATGTAAAAGAAATATGTAATTTTAATCAGCAAAACGTAGCAATTGTAATTGTCTAATCAAAGCTATCTTTTCCACACTTGAAAATCAGCGTTAAAACCCGTTTGCTGGTGAATGTATCAGATAATGATTTATAACTAAAACTTAATACAGCTGCATGTGCTGTGTCCCATCAAAATATATAGTTATTTCAGTTACTTATAATTTTTTAATGTCTCTAGCTGGCCGTACCTCACACTATTTTTTTCTTCATATTTATTATTATTGACCTAAAATTAACTTTAGGTAATCGTGCATTTCAATTGAAATTAAGTTAAAAGTACCCTGAATAATTAAGTAACGCTCAAGCATATTTCCAACACAGTAAAAATCATGAAAAATACGTAATTCGTATCTATACGCATAAAAACATGAATTGTTCAAATGTTTTCTTTATTTAATTTTAACTGAATCGAAGGGAAGAATAAGCAGTCAAAAAAGTGAAAATAGGCTTAGCAGGAGGCCATGAACAGCAAATAGAAAATTTTGCTGGTTTATTAACTCATTATACCATAAATTGTTTCCTGATGTTTCGCTACTATAAAAGATTTTTGACCGCAACAACAAACTATTATCTAAATAATCGTATATATAACGATACGAATAAAAAACTTAGTTTTCCAGCAACATGTCATTCTCTACATTTTATCTCAATAAAAAACATCATTGATGAAGATGTTAGTCTTTTTATTGTCTCAAAAGTACACGTTGCAGATTCTTCATGATTTTGTGATTTTTGAAGTTCCAGCTTTAAATAGCACCTTATAATCAGAAATGTTGTAGAAATGTTTAAGTTAAATAGTTTCAGAATACAATTCTGGAATAACGTTTGGATCTCAGATACCTTCGCATCGGAACAAAAGATATAATTATTTCAATAAGGAAGATAAAGACAGGAGTGAAAGAAGCCAAGTAAGTCTAACGAAATAGCAAAGTTAAAATATATAACCGTAATCTTTTAGTGCGTTAGCCAGTGCATATTTGAGTATCTCCGCCTGGTAAGTAATATTCCGAACTTTCTACAAAATATGCATCCAATAATTTTTAGTTGGATTACGACAAAACCCCTTCAGAAACACTGTTAATTAAATGGCTTCAAGAACATGTCACTGGAAATGACATGGACAGAATAAAAGAGTTAAGGAAGGCTAGAAGCTGTTTTTCTAAACTCACGGCATCCGGTAATGCTGCAACAGATTATTTAAGATCCTAATAAAAATTATTTTTTATTTTACCAGACACTGATGATGGCTGCGAGATGACCACAGAGCTTTCCAAATGTCTAGAATTAGAATTAGAATAACTTTAGTATTAGCTTTCATTGGTAACGTTGATAGGATATAAATATTGGTAAAACCGAGTTAGTAACAAACAATTAATAATAAATATTTCTAATACATTTCACTTAATCCTAGAAATTTAAGTCTTTTGCATGAAGATCAATTAAATACCTTTATGATTACCATTATATTGTTGTTTTTTTAAGCTAAGAATATAATTTAAAATTTCAATTGTACTTATATTCTATAAATTAAAAACCAGTAACTCTTCTTCAAAACTTCGCACTGAAAATGTGACCGGTCAAAAAAAAAATGAATAGCTCTTTGAATGGTTTAGAAAAAAACGACTATTAAACATGTAAATTACACAGAAGACATGAGACTATAAGAACGTATACTTTTTTGTGTGAACTAGGCGATGTTGCTTGAAGACGTACTCAAACTTTGAGCAAGAAAAGATAAGAGTTTCATTTTTTGCTTATGTTATTACTTGAATTTTGTCCTAGAATTGAGCTGGAACAGAATAGAATTCGATGAAAGAATTATTGAAATCGGACCACAGACTAAGAATATTTTCCCTTTGAATTTGGAGAATGTTAAAGTTATGTGTTCAATTTGCTGCACAGTGTATAAAAGAAAGTCTTTAATGGTTGGGAAATATTAAGTATATCCTACTCAGAACGCGGTAAAAACATTTCGAAATCATAGCTCCCATAACACAAATTAAAATACGGTTTTCCTACCCCGTTACATATGTGGAAATAATCCAAACTGAAAGATCCAAGATAAGAGCGAATCCGAGAATCCGTTCAATTAACAGAACGTCTCAGATTGAAACGCTCGATGAGTGAAAAAGCAACACTTTTTTAATTAGATTTCGAAATTGGAATTTATTATACCGGTAGATTCATTAAAAGTTTTTACTGGTTTTATGAGTTTGAAATTTTAATTTTTTCGGACCCCTCACAGTTGTGACACATAAATATTAATAAAACGTTTGTTTTTTTTTATATTAAAATGTACGCGGCATCGGGAATTTTTTCGAACATTACATAGCGGATTTATACTTTGCTTAGCCGTAATATGATTATACTTAATGTTCTTTAAATTGGCTCTAATTTTAGTAAAAATGTTACAAATTTATTAATAAAAAATTCCAATTTAAATCATTGATTTTTTCAGTAGGATTGCCAAACAAATCACGTAGATAAATCAAAAAACTTTATATTGCCATTGGAAAAATTATTTCTTTGTTTCCATGAAAAAAAATCACATCTGTTTTATTTACAGCCCCTTCATTCTAGGCCTGGGTAACACTATGTTGAGTTGCGCTATTGAGTTGTTGTTGCTCTCTGAGTTAACGAATTATAACTCAACGGTTAATGAATGATAAGTCATTTATTAAAGCTTTACGAGATCCGAGACTGGAATTTGCACATCTAAAAAAACAATCATCATCATCAGTCATCAACAGTTTTTCTGAGTAACGTTTTACTACTTTGTTCAAACAACTAAAAAAAGTCATCTCGATTTTCCCTGCAACAGAACCGAATCCAAAGAAGAAAGAAGGTGTTCTTATAAAATCGATCTCTTAATTTTTCGCTTGAAGGATTCAGTTTGCCAGTATTATACAGTAAAACGTTAGGGCAAAACCCGGTTTTTCTGCTTAGTGTTGTTTAGAAATATTGACCGAAACGTATAGAAACCCCAGTTTCCAAGAGTTTTCCAAATAAATGATTATAAACTTTCGCTTTTTAAATTCGGGGAAATATTTTTGGAAAAATAACCAGAATGAATTATTAGATTCTGATTTATTTTCCTGACTGCGTTTACTTGTTATGATATTCTTATATTTCCTGAGTCTCAGAAAAAAATGGAGAAAAAGAAAATCATCAGAAAAAAATGGTTGTTTGCGTTTTCGATTAAAAACTTTTAGTATTGTAATCGGTTTCGAATAAAACCTTAATGGTTTTCAGGGAAACACGTGAGAAATTTATTTTCGTTTTCGCCTCGAATTCGACGCTGAAAAAAGTTTTTGCTAAATTTTGACAAAGCTATAAATATATATTGTAATTTTTCGCGTAAAAGACCTCCAGATCGTCAGTAACTCTACAACACAGAGCGTTTTTGAGTAGAAAAAAAAATTAACTCAAACCTAAAAAACCACTTTTTTAACAACCTCTGCAGTCTTCAGAGGAATTGAGGTGATGATATTTTCAAATAATCTGTTATAAACTTCCACTTATTCTGTTAGTTTTTTATTAGAAAACTGTTTGATTTTGTTTCAAATTCGACGTGGGAAACGGATTTCAAAACTTTTTACTTAGATCAAATCGATCCGATCGATCAAAGTTGGTAGTGAGTGAGCGATGATGATAATGATGAATTTCAACTATCCGGGAGTTAAGAAGCCTTGTACATGCACCATACTGAAATGTATTCAATTTTACAATTTTCAAAGCATACTTCGTGGGAACTACGTAATTTGTAAGTACTTTTTCGTCAGCTTGAAATTGCGAATAGCTAGAAACATTTCCATATTAAATGCAAATGGATATGTAGAAAAATGGAATAATTTCTGATTGTTTGATCACACTAACTGAAGCAAATCCGAAGCCCAACAAAAAAATATATAAATAGTCATTTAATTTGCTTTGCTTGTTTTCTTAACTATTAACTCGGTTATAAAACCCTTTTGCGTCATGCCTCTACAGGTCCTTAAGATAACTACACTTCCAGTCCCTTACAGCAATAATTATTGCAAAATATCCGAATTTTCGACAGCATTCATAGAGCATTAACTAAATTTTAGATGAAGCAAGGAAAACATCACATTTGATAATTACTTGCCCAATAAAAAGTCTACGTCTAAGTCAACCCTCGTTAAGCATTCTACAAGATTATAATGTAATCAGTTAATGGTGCTTATTAATGTAAGACATATTGAACGTCGTTTGGTTGCTTCTTGTTAAGACATTGCTGAAATATTGATTTGAGTATTTTTTTCCTTATCCGTTTCTTGAATGATAATTTTTCTTCCAGTGCAGCCATCGAAAGATTTTTCCAGAGCCAGTAAATAAGAATTTTCCACCATTTTTTTATTCCTGAAGTGCTCAATATGCATAAACTCTGTCATCGTTTTTATAAACTACCTTGAGAAACATATCCATTACAGTAAATTAAACTTTACAGTTTTAACAAGGTTTTGACCATTTTAACTTGTTATCCACAGCTAATATTAACAGATGCTGATAAGAATAATCACAAGCGATTTAGAATTTCGAAGAAAACTTAATGTAATATAAAATATTAACCATGAAGGAAGAAATGTAAATTGTGAAAGAAGACCTCTGAAGCGGGTCTCTGAAAAATGTTTGCTTCAACAATAATTCCAATAATTGTCCATAAAACACGCTAAAAAAAACAATGTTATCAGAAACATAAATAACTTTAAACCTGCATGTACAAGACACCTGAAATTTTGCAGCTCTTTAATGCAACTTCCCGCTCATCCTGAAACTGTCCACTTTAAGGTCTTGGCATGCAAACAACAATTTCTCCATCATTAACATTAAATTTTACATGAACCTCTTCCGCTTTTAAAGCAGCGATTTACCATGAACAAGAGTTTGCACCCTTTATCGCATTCATCCGATCCAGAATTTCGGTCATAACTGATTCGGAACGGTGCACTAAACTCAAAACGAGTATCTCGCACTGGCGTTGCAATGCCATTAAACTAGATAAGGATGAATTCAGTTAACGTTTTATTTGTTCCTCGTGTCAATTGATCGAGACGGGGCAATGGAAATTAAAGATAACTGATTATCCTAAAACACTTTTCAATGCACTGCTTGGGCCTCAGTTTAGTCATAAGGAGGTGAATTATTGGTCAATCTTCTTACATGCCTTCTTACATGTCTATTGCTTTAAAGTTTTTTCCTGACAGTTTTAATAGAAACATATATCCACATATCTCCGCTTTTTATCTAAAAAAAATTGTCTAATGGATTGAATGTAATATTTTGGTAAATATAAACAATGATTTTTGCGTCAAGTGTATTACTGGAGTGAATGGAAAAACTAGATGGTGTCTGGTCCGTGGCTCTACTTCTATTTGCAAAGAGGCTATTTTGTTGATTAAATCGTAAACAAGGAAAATTCCCAAAGTTTCTTTATCTCCTTGTGCCCGGGCCCGCCAATGATTCCCCAAATCTCGGAAAGTTAAGAACATAACTGGCTTGGGAAATCCGACCAAATCGGTGCACTGATTGTATTAGGGCATTCTTGTTGTCATTAAGAGGCGTTTAGTAGCGGCAGCTAAAAGCTTATCGACTCCGGAAAGGCGGAAACATTTAATTTCTCCATCCTGAGACCAAGACATGCACTAATGGATTAAAACCTAAAATGTGCAATGCGATTTTCAATTTCAGAAATAAAATGTCTGCGTCCAAATTAAGTTTCAGTGTTGTTTCTTCTAAAAGTTCTTGAACTCTCAATGTGCAAACTGCTGATAATTGACTATGAATAAAGATGCTTCGATGTTATTGTGTAAATTTTAATTATTCACTATCGCAGACATATAGACTTTGCAATAAACGATCAGACTTATCGTCTGTTGCAACAATTTATTACTAAGTGATTAAATATGTAAAATCCAAATGCACATTTGGATTACATATACAAATATGTAATAAAAATATACAATTTCGCCTCAAAATTGTAAAAACCGCATAAAAACTCTAGCTTCAAGCATGATAAACATTGAAGTTATCGAGTTTTTTTGCGCATTTTCCTGAGCATCTTCAACGAAGTGTACCAGTGTACGCTTTCCAGCAAACTGCATCTGAAGATGAAAGCGACTCGTGCTTGCAAAACCTCAAGAATAAATGTTATTTGACGACGGGTTATTAGCCAGAAAAACTCCCCAATTTCAAGCGATAGCCCAACGTTATTTGTAGCGAACATTATTATGTAAAATATTGACTGGAAAATTTTACATTTTCAAACACATATAATCAGACTAATTAAATCTGATTCAATTTTGATCGGAATCAAATGTACTCTATTATTACTTCCAATGTATTAATTAAGTTTTATAGTTTATTTATTTAACTGTCAGATTTTTCAAAAAAGTACAATCTCGTGCAGAATGTTCAATATAAATAATTCTTTAGTCCAAATCATCCCAG